GTAATCATTCGTTTTTCGTAAACCATGACGAGCGTAACCTGAAAATTGAAAAATGGCAATGGTGGTTGACCAAACTACAAACGCACCTTGGAGTACCCAAAGATCAGGGAGAGAAACCTGCACTTGAGGAAAATGAGGCCCACATTCCCAAGCTTTCCCTCTCCTCTAGCCGCAAGATTGTAAAGCCTTGTATCCTTTGTGGGATTGGTCCACAATCTGTGCAAACTACACGTGGACCACCTCGCTTGATGCCCATAATGCTGCCAACCGCAAATTGCCCGCCAGCTTGTCAAAAACTAACTGGAAGAAAATTCTTCAGTGGCTCGTAACCCTTTCCTGGGATCCGGACCCTAATTTGCTAGTTTTCTGCAGCTAGGGTTTGCAGCTTGGCATGCTGGAGTGAAACTTGAGGCCCACGATTTGACTCCAGCTTGCTATGCCACTATGATTAGAAAAGCCTTCAACATCATCACTAAGAAATTCCCTGACACTCCTGCAATGCCTGGCGAACTTTTCCTGGCGAAGTGATGGGAAAGTCCATACTTCAGGTTACATAAAGGGCTTGGAGATTGCCATGCCTTTCCCTGCCAATTGCATGCTTGGGGTTGCTTTCGTGGGTCGAAACCATGTCCTGTCTAACTGGAAGTTTCTTTTTAGTTCAATCAGCTGATCACTCTGTTTTTCTCTTCTTTTGATGGTTCCGATGCGAGTTTCGTTTCTTCGATGCCTGTGGTCTGCGTGACTGCATGCTGCGAGTGAGAGCGCCTCGCGCCTTGTGTGAACAACTGACTAACATTTTTCAGTGTGTGGCTCAACCACCAACCAGTTGTAAATTCCTCCAAAGAATTGGCTACATATACATATGTAAATGTATATGTACATGTATATGCATATGTATATATGGCTCCGGGGTGGTACCCGGCGTTCTCAAAACCGATGGTTTTTGAGGGTGCATGACAAGGGCATGGGTCCAAGTCTGTGCTGCCCCACAAGAGCAATGGTAGACGTTAGTGTTGATAGAGTAGCGGAGTGCCTGGGTAGAGGAGTGACAGTCGGGAGTAGCAAGATTCACCAGGAACCTTTCAAGGGGAATCCCTAGGGAACTTTATAGGGATAATCTTATGGGGGGGGTTGGGGACTCTTTGGGGCCCTTGGGCTAGACAGCCTTCCCTGGAAAAGTCTCTGGAGAATGCTCTAGGGAGGGGGGGGGTTGGGGACTCTTTGGGTCTCTTGGCTAGGAAGGCTGGAAAAGTTTCTGGGGATCCTCTTTTTGAACTTGCCCCAAGAGTCCCCAACCCCCCCCTAGGGGCTTAGGGAAAGGTCTCTAGGGAAAGGTGTGTGTGTCAAGAGCCTTCCAAGAGTCCCCAAACCACCCCCCCTACCCTACCAGAAGGTGTGCTCCTATAGGGTATCCCCAGAAGGCAAAAGCTTTCCCGGGAAGCCCTCGGCAATCCCCAGGAGATCCTTAAGACTTCCCAAAAATCTCCACCCTCCCACCCTCCCATAAGTTGTGCTCGCCAGGCCACTTGCAGTACGACATTGCCAATCGACATGGAGCAGCCAGGCGCCGAATGCCTTGTCATGGTCTAGCAGAGCAGACTTGGTACTTTTGCAGTTGTCAGTGTTTGTTCACGTGTTGTCCACATGCTTGCACACGTGTCGACACATTCCATCTGCATCTGCAGCCTTCTTGCTCTAACGCACCTTGCTCTCTGCCACCCCTCTACGGCCTCACCTTTCTCAGGAGCTCGCCTTGGAAGCGGTGAAGAGCACCAACCTTGTGTACTACGAGGACTACCAGTACACGGAGGTGACGGCCGAAGGAAGCAGCATGGCAGAGTTGCCTTTGGTTCCGGCGAGCCGCACCAAGAAAAACTACAAGGAGTTCTTCCAAGTTGTGTCGCAGATCTCTGCGGCGGACCTGCAGGCAATCCATGTCGCCTTTGCTGATGGGAAGCTCAACATCGCCGCCCTCCCGGACTCTGTGCGGCCACGTTCCTTTATGGGAGAGGCTTGCCGTTTTTAGATTGTGGTGGAAGAGAAAATGCCTTGTGGGCTCGTCCGCAACCTTTGCGACAATGCCCTATACAGATGATCAACTACAAGGTCGCGAGCAACTCGCATATCGTCAAGATGGCCTTCCTGAAGATGCTGGGGGCTATCCGTGGGCATCACCAGGGAACCCTGCAGCAAGGAGACCGAATAGCTCGAGCCCCAGAAGCCCCCCCGCAGATTGGTGGCAAAGGATGCAGTTTCCACCTCAAGGTGTTCCGCAATCTCCGCGCAGCAAACTGCTACAGCATCGTGCCAGCATGGGGGGCGGCTGAGACTGTAAACGGAGATGCGTTTTAATTAGTATGTGGCAGGCGCCGGCTTCCAGAGGACCACAAGACGGAACTCACAGCAGGTGCAGGTGACTTTTTTTGGCGCGAAGAAATATACTCCATCGCCGTTGTCACTGGCAGGCGCTGGCAGGTGCAAGTGTTTTTTTTGCGTGCAAAATATATTCCATCGCCGTTGTCACTGGCAGGCGCGCGCAATGTGCAAAAGAAACGCAGCTGGAGAGGGAGACTGGAGGGGGGAAAGACGCGGGAGGCTGCAGACTCAAGAGGCCCCCTAAGCAAAGTCTAAAAGCGCGCGTAAAAACGCACGCCGGCAACCACCCCTTAACCGTATATGTACATATATATATATATATATATGAACTATAATTTATACATATATATATATATGTATATATTTATATATATATATATATCTATATCATTCTATATCTATATATCTATATCTTTGGAGTGTAGTCCGGTTACACAGATAGAATCCTATCCTATAGGGATATCTACCATATATCTACCATAGGTTTATCAGCTTTCAAGCAACCAATAGCGAGTTGCAGCAGCGAGGTCTTGGAGGAGCTGGGCGAACTCTCTGAGGCGGAGCTCCTGTATCGTCGCTGCATTGAAACCATCGAAAGGACACTGGGCAAGGAGCACCCGGACCGCTGGACTGCAGCTGGGCCTGAGTTTTTTTTTCCGTGGCCTTGAAGAAATTTGGGCCAAAACGAGGGCACCGATTTTTTTCATGACTGACTTGGATAGAACATGATGGGTTGGGAAGATCTTCGATGTTTCATGGCGAATTGCATAGGTAATATGGCCCATTCATGGCCGATTTCAATCTGGTTTTCGATGTTCCAGACTTGATTTCCAGGGGCCGAGATTGTTTGACTTCGAGGCGCAAAATTCAAAACTGTTGTCTAATTTTTGGGGATGTACACATACACCCTCAAAACATCAGAACATTTGGTTGTTTTTTTAGTTGGTAAAACCATCCATTTCTTTTTGTGATGCACCCAATTTTGGAGCACCTTCGACCTGTATCAACCATTATTAAGCATTGTTTACCTTTGCCAAATCATTCCAACTGCACGACTTGGCGTGCCTAGGCCATAAGCAGTTTGGCATCTGTATTGCAGTCCAGGGGCAAGGAACCTGAAGCCAAGATCTTGCTGCAGAAGGCAGTCCTGGAGGCTGAAGAGATTTATGGTCCTGAACATGAAATCACGAAGAGCCTTGGCATCCGGTCAAAGATGGCTAGTTGGGAAATGGTGGTATTATATAGCATGGCAAGTTGGGAAATGTGGGCTAGTTGCAGAAGATAACCATGGTTTTATAGTTTTATGATATCTCTTTTGAACAGTGTGGTTAAATTTATGATTTTCCATAGCTATCCACAGGGTATCCACAGATTTGCGGTTTGTTTTTCTTTTGGGAATCGCTGTTGTTTTTCTTGAAAAGGTGGAACACGGACCTGTCGGAAGATGGTTCATTCTACATAGGTATGGTCAAGATGTGAGGCGTGGAAGTGTTTTGCACTGTTTTGAGTCACTCTTTTTTTGGGTAAACATTTGCAAACCAGCTGCGAACCATCGAATTTTTGGGTTCAAACTTGACCGTCGGAGCCTCTCAGGGACATGCAGTCCGAGCTGGCGAAGTTGAGTGCAGCGACCAAAATGGGGCGGGCAGCTTCGGTGCTTTGAGGGGTAGATATGGGATATGGCTCATGAGAAATTGCAAACAGGTGGAACATGATAGGCCAACATCTTCCAAGCATTTTCCGAGATAATGAAACACATTTTCTCATATTGACATGTAATTCATGGTACCTTGGGATGTTTTGGGTCAAAAATCCATGGGAAATCTCCTTCCATTCTCCTCAGAGCTGCCTCCTTGCCCACCATAGCTGGTCAAATCGCTGGGGCAGATCAAGCTGACC